CAAAAAGCACTGCTACAATGACAACAAAATTATTCACTGAAGTAAATACAAATTCTGAAGCCAACTTTGGGAACTAAATTCTTTGTCTCGTTCTCGTGGACCCAATCTCGTGTCTCGTCCCACACCTATTAATTAATACAAATGGGGGGCAGTTAACATTGATACTGTTAAAATGATGTTGTACTACAGTGAATTCTTGGGTTTAGTCAATACAGTCGTCCCTCACTCAGTCTGTAATGTATGCGGCGCGAAAGTCCGCCATCTCAATCAATGTTTCTTCTGCTCAGTAAATAATGCCTGTGAAGTGATGACAGTAAAGTCGCGTCTGTGAATTTGTATTCGTAATGAAGAAAGCGTAACAGTTTCATTTCGTGATTGCAATTCTTGAAGTCGTAACCTTTCAGTTCGTATTCTTGATGGATGCTTCAGTTAGAATGCTTTTAATTTGTGTGATTTATTATGGGCATGAGTGGGTAACGGGTGGAATGTTAACAGGTCCAGGCAGGTGAGGGTTTAACTTTGATATAATTATGGGGTAACGGGCGGGTGCCGTGCTGTATTGCATTGGTGCAACACGGTGTGGGTTTCCAAAAATGGACCTGTGCAGGACTCTGCGCTGTAGGCTCCATTATGGAATAAATTAATCATAGGTTCGTTACATAAAGAAGGAGGAAAATAACATAAGGACGACAGAAGTTTTAAGAAGGATGCAAAAAGGGTTGTAACTGTCCTGTCTGAGAAAAAGTTATGAAGTGTGTGGTGAGAGGTAAAATGTAAAGCTGACAACTTTGCAGATTTCGCCTATCGCAGGTTAGTTTTAGAACGTAACCCCCCATGATAAACAAGGGACCACTGTAATTGAAAATACCAGGTTCAGCATTTGTGAATTTACCTTTTGGATATTTCATGGCAAAGTACGATATAATCAAAAGGGAAATCTGGCCCTTGCCCCCTATTTGGGAGTATGACATCACATTCTGCAACCCAAAAAACAACAATACAATAAAAAAAATAAAAAAATCCTTGAAAACACAGAAAAAGCAGAGCGGTAATCAAAAGGTTCTAAATCAATATTGGACTTTATAGTATTCAGAAAGATTTGAGCCTCTATCACTTAATTACGTTCGTATTGATGGACCACAAAAAGATACAGTGAATAGATGATAGGTGAAAGGCAGACCCACTGCTGGCAAGAATAGCACATTTGAGTTTATTGAGGACTTTAAATCCTGTTAGCCTCCACAGCCAATTGGCAACAAATGCATTGTTGCAAAGGAAATTCAACCGTAAACCAAGAAAAAGGCTAATATGTCTTTTTGATCTATGACACACATTAAAAACACATTAGTGATCAAAAACGACTTAATAGAAATTAGATTTGACTTCCAGTTCAAAGTGGTACCATACTGCTGGAACATTTATTTTTATTTATTTACTTTGTGCAGAATCATCATTACCACTCCAACATGCGTCACTATTTGAAACAGACCAGTTTTAAGAAACACCAGTCTATGTAGAGTTGCATTTCCACAAGTCTTACCTGTAACTTGGTCTGGTTTGGTCTCCATGAAGGTAGATGAAGATGGAAAGGTTTTAATCCTAGACTGTGAAGACAAAGCAATAACATTTTCACAGAGAAAAGCTTTTAACATAGCCTGATTTATCAACTGGTTTCACTTCAGAGAAACCGTCTGACCTCACAGCATTAGAATTCATTCACTCAACGGTAAGCGGGTGCGTTTTTTTTATTCAACCAATGGCTGGTATTTGGTCATGACATGTATGTAATGCGCCACTAACGGGGCCAACTGGTATATTAAGCTTTTCCCAAATCTCGTAGGAAAAAGGGCGATAACGTCTTTCTCCTTGATAAAATTCACCAAACATTCTCTTTGTTCCGGCTTTAAATCCTCGATCTTGGGAATCGCTGCCAACACAGAATATATGACTCTTCTCTGATTGGCTGGTGCCCGAACTCACACTTCCGGAGTTTTTGCGAACCGTCTAGTGTATTCAGATTCCTGACCTAGTCGCTGGAGAGGTGGAGGCACTAGGTGGCGCTAGCTTGGCTACTTTTAATGGACCCTCTACCAGAAAAGTTACACAATGCACAATTTACATTTCTAGCAAGGGCAGATAACGTTGTGGCTGACCTGCTACTTGAAAGCTGACATTGCAATTTCTTTATCAGCTCCTTTTCCAGCTTTTTTCCATATTCATTTATTCTTTTTCATAATTCGTGTTGTACTTGATCATCTAATTTTGCATATTTAAATTTCAACTCAAAATGACCTCCTGATGGGAGCCGAATCCTCTTGATTTCAAAACCAATGTCCAAGTGACTACACAACATTTCATACCCCGTGTTCATGTATTTTTCTTTTTTCCTCCCACCTCTGATCTCTACAATCCTTATTAATCACAAAACACTATTAAAACCCTCTTCTGTGCTCAAAATAATAAAATCTCCATTCTTTACCAAACTCCTCCATCAAACTTTGTAACCGTCTTTTCCAGAACAATGATCCGGTTAATGGATTTTGAAAATGACAAAGTGCGCATTTGCTCATAGAGATGTGACTTATATTTAACTCCGAATCCCCTTGGAGATCATGTTGCAGACTTGATTGGTTTTCTTGGATGTGTGAAACAATATCTGGTGTTAGCCACAAGAGAACGCACTGTCAAAAGCTGGCATTAAAGCACCCATATTACGCCGTTTTCTTATCTATATTATAATGCTGTTTCCTCATCATAAACAAATTTGGAGTTGTGTTTTTGTTACATTCGCACACACGTTTTATCAAATGCTGACCTTGAGATGATTCACTCTTTTATTTCATCTTGTTTAGATTTTTGTAATTCTCTTTAACACATCCATACTTAAGTGGCTGCAACTTGTACAAAACGCGGCAGCAAAGGTTTTTATCACACCAATTTTATCTTCATTGCATTGGCTTCCATTTTAAAATCATGGTTTTAACTTACAGATCTCTAAATGGACAGGCGCTCCAGTACATCAGTGACTTACCGCGCCCCTACACCTCAGGGCGCAGCCTCCGGTCCTCAGGTCAGGGCCTCTTGATGTTCTCAAAGACCCGCTTTAAACCACAGGTCGACCAGTCTTTTCAGGCTGTGGCCCCTGAATTATGAGAAATGCTCTGCCCCTAGCCCTCTGTGAGTCAGACACTATTGACTCTTTTAAAAAGCAGCTCAAGACACTGCTGTTTAGACAAGCTTTTGGTTGACTGTGTCTTTAATTCATCTCTTCACATGTTGTTTATTGCACTCTGTAAAGCACTTAAATTCTGTGAACAGGTACTGTACATACATACTTACTTTACCTACCTTACTTACCTTACTTGACTTACTTACTTAACTTACTTCACTTGCTTACCTTACGTACTTACTTACTCACCTTTCTTAGCTTACTACCTTACTTACTACCTTCGTTACTTTACTTACTTACCTTACTTAACTTGTTTTACTTAACTTATTTACTTACCGAACTTAACTTACCTTACTTAACTAACTTACCTTACTTGTTCACCTTACTTAACTTACTTTCTTACCTTACTTACCATACTTACTTTTACTTATTTTACTTAGTTTATTTACTTACTTTACTTTACTTTACTTTCTTTACCTTACCTTACTTACCTTACTTAACTTACTTTCTTACCTTACTTACTTTACTTACCGTATTTTACGGGCTATTAGGCGCTCTGGATTATAAAACGCACTGTCATTAAATGGTCTATTTTCAACTTTTTCACAAATAAATAGCACCGGACTTTAAAAGACACACGACAGTTCGATGGGTCAGTCGGACTCCGTTTGGCACGTTCACGGCGACTCTGGGCCTCGTTCAACTGCGGCACATATAGGAGGGCGCTGTCCGGGACCGACGGACCGTTGGCGTGCCTGCAGTGACCCAGCTGCTCAGCCTTGGCTCAAAAAGGCACATTGCACTCGCTTATTCGGTTCGTTCCTTCGTTCCGTTCCTCGTTGGCGTAGAGTGATGAATGTGGCTGTGGGTGTGTTTCGCTGTGCGGTCGCTGTCTGCTCCGTGCATGTTTGCGTGCGCTGCGGGTCGTGCGGCTTTATAGTTTACTGAAGTCGTGCTGGGACACCCGAGTGGATTCGTGTATGGGGCGCGCGGTCGTTTTTTGATGTGGTTAGAGGCTTAAGAGTGCACCTAATAGCCCAGAAAATACGGTACCTTACTTTACTTACTTTACTTTCTTCACTTCACTTACCTTACCTTACTTACTTTACCTTACTTACCTTACCTTACTTGTTCACCTTACTTAACTTACTTTCTCACCTTTCTTACCTTACTTACTTTACTTTACTTACTTACTTATCTTACTTGCTTTACTTACTTTACTTAACACACAAACCCTGCATATCTTGTGATGTCATGTGGTAATACAAGGTGTTCTACACAGTGTTTGAAAATGCCACACACCTTCACTAAAATCAGTTGGATGATTTCAGCCCCAGAATTGCCAATCTCTGTTCTAAACTCAAGGTAAAACGGTAGCTGTTAACTTAAACTATCATGACATCACAACGTGGAACAGAGCATCACAGACTAAAATAAAGGCTTACTCAAAAGTGTGAATGAAACAAAACACAAAACTCCAGGTATGTTTTTTGAGAATTAACAACATTATAACATAACTTTAAGCACACAAGAGGTAATTTTGCAAAATAAATAAAAGCTGACATGTCACTAATCACGCATTTATTTTGTCAGATTTTCCATAACATATACTGTAGATTTATTATGGACCAGATCGGCGGAGCAGATTGGGGGCCGCCAAGAATCTGTTATATTTGAAGCACGACCTGTTGTCATGGCAAACCTACACATTTTCAACATGTGTTTTTAGCATTCATTTGGAAATACAGAATATGTTTCGGTACAGTTTCTTGGAGGACGACTCGAATCTGACATGCAAATTTAATCACGTCTTCTTTCTTCTTCCCCATAGGCATACTGATCTGTGGTCTACACCGGTCTGCGAGCCTGTCAAGACTGCGTTTGGTGGAACATTGGAGTTAAAGGTATGTAATGATGTTTGGATGTGGAAATAAGCTCCTATATACAGTACATATACGTATTTAATTTGCAGAAATGAGTTTGTGATGTCCAACACTGAGGCTGATATCACTTATTTGTCTCCATGGAGATGCCAATACTGCCTAGAATGTTCACAGTATGATGTCATTCTAGCTGTGAGTGGGGTCAGCTCTCCACAGATCTGACATGCAACTTGGCCTGGAGGAGTGACCTGCTTGTCTCTAACTTAATGCCATACTGTGGTACATTCCAGGCAATAAATTGGCCTCCAAATTTGCATATTGCATATTTTATTTTTGATTCTGCGTTTCTTATTATTTATATGAATTTAGTTACATTAAGAGGTTAAAATAGTGTATTCCAGTTCCGGAAATGTTGACATTTGGAGACAACTTTTTAAAACAAACATTTATGATAATTTACATCATTTTGTATAGATTATTCTAAATAACCACCCTTTGCTTTGATCACTGTTATCTCACTAATAAACCCCGAAAAGGCTTAGCTGTGAAGTGAAAACCATTTCAGGAGACTTCATCATGAATGTCATTAAGAGAAGGCCAGTGTTTTCAAGAAAGCAAAAGAGTGGATACTTTGAAGAGTCTAAATTATAAAACATATTTATATAGTTATTTACTAGGGGTATAATGATATCAAAGTCTCACGATACAGTATCCTCACGGTATGAACCTCAAGCTACGATATTTATTGCGATATCGTGGGAAAGCTCACGAGATGGTGGGCAGGCTCACGATTAGGGATGTAACATTATCCAAATCTCTCAGTTCGATATTTTCAAGATATACATCCCACGGTACGATATTTATTGCCATATTTTGTGGAGGCAAACAAAACTCTCTTAAAATGCCTTGACAAGACTTAAGCCAGAGAACTAAGACTTAAAAGTGCTTAGAACTGTTATTTCTTCATGTATTCTGCACTGAAATGGAGCAAAGGATCATGGTCTATGTAGTTCCCTCATTCTTTTTTTTTTTTTTAGCTGTTGCTGCACCATAACTCTTAATTTAAGCAAATAGTCTTGCAATTCAATATATTGTAAGAACTTTGATGATGTTTTGGTTATTGTCACATCCCTATTATTTACATAGTTATTTAACAGGTTTATCTTTGTTACATAGTTCCATATATCTTGTGTCAAATATGTGATGTTTTTAGTGTGTATCTACAATGTAAAAAGTTGTAAACATTGATGGACTTAAACTTAGACAAACTTTCTTGATCCACAATTGCAATTATTTGGACATAGTAGCTCACACATCACAATAAATACAATGACAAAGAGCAAAGAAATGAATGATGCTTTAAAAAAAAAAAAAATCAAAATAAGTCACAAAAATGGCAAGAACTGAATGAGAGAATGTGTCCAAACTTGTCCAGACTGTGCTGTGTATCCAAAGTGTCATTGATTGTCATGGCTGATATATCTATGTACTTTGGCGCAGGTCTTGGAAAACTTTTTGAAACTTTTTCTCAGACTTGTAGCCCCAGTACCTTTCGTCTTGCGTGCCCATTTGTCTCCGTGTGTCTCCGTGTGTGGCGTGGTGTTGCGTGCGGACAGCAGAGGACGGGCCTGAGCGGTGCCAGTGACGGTGCCAGTGGCGGGGCGAGGGCTCTGGGGACGCTCGGAGCAGATGGTCGGGCAGATGCAGGGCTGCAGTGACCTTGGAAACACGGAGAAACAGGCGCGTTGAGCCAAAGCATGTCTAAAAACAGAGTGGACAGCACATCAGTGGAGAGGGGAGAGTCGTCAGGGGGCTTTGGGGTGAGATATTCAGGGGTGTCCATGTACTTTTGGAGTGGCTGATTGGTCCCGGTGCATTTTGACTCAGCCTTGGCACAAGGTTTGAAGTACATTAAACTGCTGAAGCAAATAATAATAATCAGCGATAAACGGTAAAATGGTGAAATACTAACAAATCCAAGTCCACTTTATTTCTGTTGTACATTTCACAAACAAATCAGTTTCCAAAGTGCTGCACAGAGATCATAAAATGAAGACCACAAAAAGGTAAAATGCTAAAATTTGGTCATGCCCGTCCTAAAACAATAAAACCAGTCAAATCAAATAAAAACAAAACCATAAAAATCATACAATAGCTGTACATAAATAAAATAAAGTAGATAGAGGAGTAAAAAGTGGTTTTAAGTAAAAGTTTTTAAGACGAGACTTAAAACTCTCCACTGTGGGGGCTGTTCAGACGTGGGAGGGCAGAGTGTTCCAGAGTTTGGGGCTGGCCACAGAGAAAGTCCTGTTCCCCCTGGTTTTAAGTCTCGTTTTAGGGACCACAAGCTGGAGCTGGCCCTCGGACCTCAGAGCGTGTAGGGGTCGTAAATTTGGATGAGGTCCGAGACGTACTGTGGGGCCAGTCCATTAAAAACTTTAAAAACAAACAACAAAATCTTAAAATCAACTCTAAAATGAACTGAAAACCAGTGCAATGACGCTAAAATTGGGGTAATGTGCTCACATGTTTTTTGGTTCCAGTTAAAAGATGTGCAGCAGAATTATGGAGAAAGTGCATGACACAAAAACCAAGAGCCAATTTAAACCACAAAATACGATTCTAAATGTGCAATATTGTTAAATAATCATGAGTTACAGTAAATAAACAGCAGAACGAAACACTTTAGTACTTAGTTTTGAGGTTTAATCTATATTGTGGAACGTTCTAGACCAAGCAATAACATTTCCATGGAGACAAGCAGACCCTCCACTAGAAATGTTACACAGTGCACCATTAAAGTGAGTATCTACAAAAGCACTATGTAAACCTCTATCTATTTTACCATTTGTCAGAATTCTATGAGTTATCGCAAGACACAGAAGGGCATCAGAAGTAAACGGCTGCCTGATTAGTGCGCAATTGATTTGTTTTGGTGAGCTTGAAAATTGAAAAGAAACAGGAAAAAAATAAAAAAAAATAAAAATTTTGGGTTGATTTTAAAGAGGGATTTCATTGATAACATGTCAATCTTTTATTGCATTCAAGCTTTGGTTCCATTTTATTGGACCAGCAGTAAACAACTTAAGCGATAGAGCTCCTCACCTGCAGCTCCCTTTTGAGAAAACGCTGTCAAAAATATGGTCCAAAAGTGCTTTTCTGTTTTCTTGTTTACTGAAATAAAGCCGTATAATCACATAGGAAAAAAAAACAAAAAACTAAACAAATAATGACATCAGATATACCTGCAAGTGGCAATGATCAACCCTTCACTCGGTTCCACTCTTTTTAATCCAAGTCTCACGATAGGATATCGTCACAGTATGAACCTCACGGTACGATATTTATTGCGATATCGTGAAAAAGCTCACGGTACTGTGGGGAAGCTCACGATTAGGGATGCAACAATATCCAAATCTCTCGGTACGATATTTTCATTATATACGTCTCACAGTACGATATTTATTGCAATATTTTGTGGAGACTAATACGCTACTTTTTCTCTCTTAAAATGCCTTGACAAGATTTTATCCAAACAACTAAGACTTAAAAGTGCTTAGAATGGTTATTTCTTCTGTAGTCTGCACTGAAATGGAGCAAAGGATCATGGTCTATGTAGTTCACTCTGTCTTTTTTTTTTTAAAACAATTGCTGCACCATAACTCTTAATTTAAGCAAAGAGACTTGTAATTCGATATATTGTGATGGTGCATGGTATTATTGTTAGAACTTTGACGATATGATATCATGATTAGGGATGGGCATTCGATGAAATTTTCTTAATCGATCGTCGGAAGAATTAACGATCGATTATCAATTAATCATTAAAGTTTTTATATTAAAATGATCATCATTATTATTACTATCTGCATTACTATTCTGCATGAATCAATTCGAATTTACGACATATAAACCGTAACCACTCTAGAGCCACATCAATCCGTTTGAGATTATAATGTGTTTAATTCAGTTTTGCGCAACTCTCACAGAAACGAAACTTAAAACCGCATCGCTAATTTGCATAAACTAAGCGAAGATAAAACTACAGCTCGTGTCGCTGATGCGGTCAACTTCTGTCGGATTAAAAGACATGACTCAGGTGAATACAGGTTAGTGTGACCATATTTTCATTTGTCAAAACCAGGACACCGTACGGGGGGAGGGAGGTGGGGACTCGCATCAACATTGTGCTACTCTCACCTGGGAAAACTTTTTCCCACTGGACACCGAAACATATGTGCTGCTTTGTACACTGTGCACATGGCCTCCCACTTGTCCTGACCGGAACAGAAAGCATGGAATTTCTTGTACAAGTCATCGTTAAATACGCATTTGTGCTTGGGTACGTCGCAGGTTGACCGACTGTTTGTGTCTCGCTCCTTCTGAGTGCAGAGACACATGTACAGACCCCTGTTTGGTCACGCTACGCACAGCAACCTACATTCAGTTTGTCGATTAAGATTAACGTAATCGATGAAATTTTTAATGATCAATTATCGATTAATCGACTAATCATGCCCATCCCTAATCACGATATTTCAATTACTGTTACATCCCTAGTACTTTCATAGAGTTTCATATGGTAAAAACTGTTCACTGTTGCCAAGATACCAAGACACGCTGTCCCTAGCTGTCATGCTTCCTCAATCACTATATAAACACAATAGAATATGAGTTAACTGCGCTCGATCACGTTGCATAACCCCCCCAGTATTGATGTAAGAGAGCCACCACCACCAGCAGCCAGTGTCTCCAGGGCTTTACACAGCAGAGCCGCGGTGTGATGTGGGCTGTGGGGAGAGAGGGGGAGGGTGCTGGTGGGTGCTGTGAAGGGGAGGGGGGAGGGCGCTGGTGCTCTAGAGGGGAGAGGTGTCAGCCGTATAATTGGGGTGAGCAGATCTCCGGGGTGGATAGAGGAGCTTTATTAAGACCGCTCCAGTCGAATGTGTTGGCACGGCCGCCTGTAGGGCAGCAGGGTTAATCGCAATCGAAATCGCAATTTGAGCAGACGCAATTAGCAA